CACACACACACACACACACACACACACACACACACACACACACACACACACACACACACAGACGCAAACACACAAAACAGATGACGAAACAGATTAGTTCAGTATTTCAATATCCAAAACTGTCCTGGAAAATAGTCTAATCAAACAATCACAAACTGACTGTTGAAAAAAAAGAAAAACATCCAGGCACACTTGGGTACACATTCATACGCACACATATACACACAGTCACAAGACGCCAGGTCTCCTTTGCAGACAAGCTACATGCTCCTTGCATCACCGAGCACTCTGGTCAGCCTCTGACAAGAGAATAAATCTAAAACTCGGGGAGCAGGAACGAGAGGAGAGGGGGAGCAGGAGGAGGAGGAAGAGCCGAGGAAGAGCACATTGGGGCCTTGCCGTTCCATCAATCTTATCCTGTTACTGCAAGCTGTCAGGTGAGGTGGACAGACGGATGGAAGGCAACATCAGAAAAAAGGAAAAAAATCAAAAAGAGAGCACTGATTGAAAAGTCTTAGTCGTCCTCTTGTTGTTCAACCAGAGGCCCGGTAACCGCCAGAGCCCAGGAAGGCATGTCGGGAAAGATTTGAGACTAGTCATGTGACAAGGTATGCTGGCTCACACACTCGCACCTCAACCTCCCAGTCACATCAGCCTGTCAAGTCAGGCTCCAGAGATCCTGAGATGCGGACCAGCAGTTCCATCTAGAGTGTATTTTACAGAGCTTGGGTTTTGTTTTGCTAGCTGTTGAGAGCTGGTGGAATGGGAGGAAGAAAAACGCATGGGCGATGTAGCAACAGTGAACCATGCAAATACATTCTTTTCTGTCTGAAATTGAGATATACATCTTATGCAAGTGGAAATGACACTAACAGCACCTGTTGACAAAGATTTCTCTTCCCTGCCTGCCTGCCTGTGACATTTGTCTCCTCAAAAGCAATTTGCATACAAATACATAAGCCTGTGCCTATTTTTCATTTTCAATTAACAGATGATGGCATGAATGCATTATGATATGAACTAAGAGGAGACTATGAGTTTGACCAGCCCCTTTTTTGAGAAAAACCTCCCCTCCCTACACACACACCCAAAGCTTTATGGATAATGAAGTGAAAGAGCAGGGATTTACCGACAGTCTCCTCGGCCCCACTGGCCTCCGTTGGGACGCCGCTGCTCTCTTCTTCAGTCGCTTCGTCCCCGCTTGGATCCCCGCTACCCGAGCCTTCGAAGGAGACTGTGGCGGCCGAGGGAATTGGACCGCTGCGAGAGGATGTGGAGGCGGCAGCGGTTGGGCTGGGCTGCGGCGCTTGCGGCTGGATGTGGGTGGAGTGGTGGCTGGTTGCTTGCGCACTTTTTTGGGTAGGGGATGGAAAGGGGGTGGTGGTCGCAGGTTGCTCGAGGGTTTCGATCCATGGAGGCGGGACGCCGTGGACCATGTTAGGATGGAAGGGTGCGACGGTGGTGATGGTGGTGGCGGCGGCAACGGTTGCGCTTGGGGTGGTGGCGGGGGGGGTTGGGGTGGGTCGATCTGCTGGCTCAGAGATGGTTTCTGGTGGAGGGAAGGGGAGGAAGCAAGGAATGGATGAATGACTGAGCAAAGATGGAAGTGTTGGACTTTGTTTTACTTAACTGCAGTAAAACCTCAAAAATCACACCAGAGGAAATAAAAAAAACCATAATTAGCCAATAAACCATAACAAAATCACTTAATGATTATTACAACCTACTGCTCACTATAACTTTTTTTTTACTCCTGTATTCAGTGAGCGATTATGCCTCTTCTAATCTTCTAACCCATCTCCCCGATGTTCACCAGTGTCATTAAGTAATTACATTAGAAACCACACAGATACACAAACAGGCCTGTTTGTACAAGCAGCCCGTGATTAAAAAGCCTGCAATGGATGAGATGTCAGAAATCTTTGTTTCAGGGGTCTTAAGAGTGAAAATGGAATATGCCAACAGATGACACATCGCATTCGGGCATGTGCACTCCGCCTGCAGACGAGTTATGTTTCCCAAACCGGGTTAAACTACTCCAGTTGGTGTCAGCGCATTGTGTGGAGGGTATTTGTGCTTGTGTTTGTACACATATGGCATGCATTCGTGTGCACAATATGCATGTTTGTGTGTTGCTGTGCCAATGCCTATGAATTATATATCCATATTCAAACGCTGCCCTCCAGTAGCACAGCTTTAATCACCAACAGCCAGTGCCTCCGGTGATGAATGATTGATAGAAATGGGGCAGAAAAAAAAGAAAGAAAAAAAAGCCGGCTTTAACTCTGGCTTCAAAGAGCGCTGCTTGCAGAGAGCATGAGTATCCATCAACGCCACCACAAACACACTCATGTCAATGCACACACACACACACACACACACACACACACACACACACACACACACACACACACACACACAGAGCAACAAAAACAACAACAAAAAAAGAATCCTTCCAAGTGAGGGGAGCGAGAAGAGCCTCTCTGTAAAGAGCCCGTCATTACCAATGCAAAAAGCTCTGGTGCAAAAGGACAAACTGTTGGCGATAAAAGAGAGATAAATGGGACAAAAACTCCTGCGGGAGATAAGTGAGTTGGCAGGGAGATGCTACGTAAGCGAACACTTCAGATTTAGCCGTGGCGAGCAGTCACGGCAATATTGTCATTATTTCTTCGCTCCTTGCCGTCCCACGAGCACAGATGTGTGTTAGTGAGAAGGTGAAATGAAGAAGAGATTAAAAAATAAAAAGCTATACCGTAGACATGCGCCTCATTAGGATTCGCCTAACATTATGTGTAGGACTTAATTACACCGCTATAATCGCTTAGTTGATCGGCAATTATTCACCGAGGTGTGAAATGTGATACCTACTGAGACGGCAGAAAGCCCGGGAGACGCACAGATTGTCAGCTTAAAGCTCGGAAGATATTTGTAATAGAGAGATTTGGAGTGCATAGAGGAGCGATGCTATCACCAAGGAAGGTGGCATGCATCGCGTTTCCTCTCGGCTACACCTGTCAGTCTTGTGCCAAGCTTAGCGTCAAGCGGATTGGTCCCTGGAAAGGGCCTAATGCGTGTTTGGGTGTGTGCGGGCATCTCCAGAAGCAAGCTCAGTGACATGGGATAAAGCAAGAGAGGAGCGCTAGTTGGGAGAAAGCAGAGAAGGACTGACAGCACAGTCTGTTCAGCTGACGCTTCTCTTAATCACGTTTAACAGTCCATTTGCCTTTTTTTTGCTTTATTTCCTCCCAGTCGAGCACTGGACAGTAATGTCACAGAGTAGAGAGCAAAATAAATCATAGTCATCTCAGCTTGCTTCAGCTGTGTACTTATTGTTGACAGGTGATTATTAAGATTGTTTGTGGAGTCAGCCACCCTCAGTGAGGAGGAGGAATTCGGAAAGCGCAAACTGGAGGAGAAAGACAAGGAAGCCACAGAGGCAAGGAGAGGAAATGATAGGGAAAAAGAGCCTGACAGAGAAAGGGTTTAAATCAGATGGAAAATACAGGTTAACAAATCAGCAGCAGGGAAACATGGCATGGCAAACTGAACGAGGGAGTGAATAATGGCACAAAAAAAAAATCGCAGGATATGGAGGAGAAGGCAACAGAACCCTGACTAGCAAGCAGGCAGAGGGCTGCCTGTGCCATATGCTGGCCTTCGTTGCCAATTTGCTACAAACTTACAGGTAATAACACCATATGGGAGAGGCAGGTCATTGCCAACATGGTGGCCATTTCCTCCCGCTGCCAGAACTTGCTCACCGGTACAAATGCCCTCCCTCCGGTGCTCGGTACAGTGTTTTATGCATATTTTTTTGAGGATTCTTCTCTTATCGCTTCATCTTTTGCTGAGACCTAGCAAAGAAGCCGGCAATACTCCTCCCCATACTCTGCGGCTGCTTGGAGGAGACTTCAGAGAGAGCCGGGTAACATCACAGCTCTCTGTCACAGGCAGAAAGATTTGAGGAGCTTTTTCTGCAGGCTTGTAATTTCTTTCCTCAGCCTGCCCATTAGCGGCAGACTGCACAGCAGCAGCAGAAGCAGCAGTCACGCTCCCTTGTATAATAAAAAGTTGCAACAGATCAATGATGTTAAAAAAGATCAATATTCACTCATTTATAGCAGAGCCCTTGGCACTGCTCTCCTGTCAAACCACGGAGCAGCTCGGCGAGCATTGGCATGCCACGGCGCTGTGGCCCGGCGTCTGGAAGCGCTGCGTGTAAACAGTGGGAGGGAGGGCGGGCTTGGCTCTGGCGTGGTGAGGGGTGGAGGCAGAGCAAATGCTAATTCGCACCCAGCCACACGTGAAATGAGCTCGAGATCTAACTCCCGAGCCGACAGCAGCGCCAGAACAGCAACCCGCGGTGCGACCGCATCCGGGTGAAGAAATTAAAAGATCCTCCGCGGCTGCTGGTGGGGCCCGAGCGCTCGCCTGTCTCTTCATCGTCCCTGTAGAGATAGAGAGAGAGTCCACTGCGAGGCGTCTTCGTGCCTTCTGTGTATGCAGAAATGCTAGGTGAGGGATTACACACAACCCACATCTCTATTGCCAGGCAACAGAGGAATGTGAGACCAGACTGGATTTTGGCTCCATTTGCTGGTAACCCACGGCACTGAATTTGTAATTACCAGATGTTCAGGGACTTATCAAAGCCTTGTCAATTCCTTACTGAGCATACTCCTTTTTTTTTTTTTTTTAAATCCGACTACCTGAAACTACAAATCAACATACACTATATCAACATCCTTTCCTATCTGGAATACTGCCATTTGAGTCTGAAGGGGATCACTCAGGGAAGAGGGGTAAAAGGGACGCGTGTCTCTGCATGAGGTCATTTGATCCACTAAATGATGAGGTGAATGAACATTTTTCTACCTGAAAATGTAAGACACCTGGCAGTGGCTCGCGGCCACAGCTCCACAGCTGGCGTAGAGCTTCCTCCTGCTCTTGCCGGCGGCGTCTCTAGAATTCTGCTGTGACGCAAGCTGGCAGTCGGCGAGACCACTTCACTGTACATGAAAGCTGTGGCCTTGGCAAGGGTCCCAGTGCCTATTACACCGATCCAAGCAATGTCCATCAGCATGTGGGCTGGGATGGAGGGGAGGGGGGACAAGAGCTGTACCTTTTCCTGAGTACACATGTACTCTACATGTGCAATCATACTTCAGCAGCATCGTGTTCCTGGCAGCATCAAGCTGCGAAGGGATTGATGTATTCCCCAACAGGGGGTTTGAAGATGAAGCCAAATCCCAACAAAGGGACTGGAAAGCAAAGAGGAAGTGTCATTGCTATCTGGTGAGTTTGCAACGCACAGACTCCAGTCAAACTTGTTTTTCTTTTCAAAATAAATAAATAAATCTCCATCTTAATTCTGAGATCCCTGTAGTGTGGCACATGCTTTCATTCTCACCAGGCAGTTTAAAACCAGGAGGAGAGACAGGCTTGTTCGATATACAGAAGTGCTATTGAACATGAGTCGTGTAAGATGCTTTTATTATATACTCTTCAGCACTTGAATTACCTTAATAAGAAATAAGCACAGCTGCTCGAGTGTGTGCAGAAACATTTATTTTAAGATAAATGTGCTCTCACAGTGCTCTGACCTTACTTTCTGAATCAGAGTGATGGATAGGAGGAGAAACAGCAGGAGGGGGTTAATTTGAGGCCCTCGGCACTGCTCATTATCTTTTGATCAGGGACTGACAACAGTTGGCCATCCGTGTGTCTCGTTATGCATGGAGGTTTCTACGAGGCTCACCTGTGCACTGTCCAAAGTGCTGCACTGTGATGTCCTTGTCCTGTCTACAGGCTATGGTCCTCAGCTGGCACTGGTCGGCATAGGTCACCCCATCTGAGCCGCACACCTGCTCCACAGTGACAGAGATGGAGCGAAGGGAGAACACGTTAACTCCCTACAGGCAACTAAAAGAATGTGTTTCCATTCAAACAACTTATTTCTTTAGACAGTTTGAAAGACACACCTTGGTTTTGTTTTTCAAATCGCAGTCAGGTGAGGGGCACTCACAGTGGGCCTGGCCATTCACCTTAATGCAAGTGGCTCCATAGTTACATTGTAACTCTTCACAGGAAGTTGGGGCTTCAGGACCTGTGGGAGAAACAGGTTTACACTGCTATACGTTCTGTACGCACTATATGGACAAAGGTACTGGGTCATGTACGCATCCTGTTAGAGCACCACTCTCGAATTCAGTGAGCTCTTCATTCTTTCATCAATGACTGTGAATGCAGGCTGCATGGTTAGGTGCTTGATTTAAAAAGTCTGTGGCAATGGGACTGAAAACACCTGAATTTAAAGATTAAGAGGTGTGGCCCAACACTTTTGTTCAAATAGAGTACTTTATATACAGCAATGGAGACTGTGAAATCAGACTATAGCTGGCGACATTTCTGCCACGTTTTGTTGTTTCGTAGTGATTTCCTCCTTTATTCTGTAATCCTCGTTCTTTCCTGTGAGTGTTATTTCAACACGTTCTCACTCCCAAAGAGTATATAGTAATACACTAGGTGACAAATCATCAACATACTACACTTCCGGGCACCCAACACGTTCGTAAATGATGAGATCGGAGAAACGATTAAACTTGAGAACCGTTTGGAATCAATCTACATGTGTTCGTTCATTTTACTTAAATCGCTTTGGAAAACACTATTTAACGTCACTAAAGTGCTGGTACAGGTTAGTTAGTGTTAGGGCTGGAATACATGGCTTGAACGTGTATTACCGCAGGACCGCCATTCTGCTGGATTTCACCCATAACCCGGCGCGTAACATAAGAACGCGGAAGGTCACCTTTCGCGTTCCTCAGGAACGCCGCGGAACGTGACAAATCGTCGGGATGTTACGCCTCGGGAGTGAGATTGGGCTGGTTATTTCCATTATTCATGTTGGCCTTCCCTTGCTTTTTTTGTGTATTACTGCCCTTTCATTCCTGGTTCTTTGTTCCTAGTATAGGTCCAATCATGTTTGTCCATCTAATATGCTTTCAAGACTCCAACCTTTACTTTCTGTCAGCTGGTTTTGCTGATGCTTAAGGTTTTGAACTTTTGATCCTGGTCTCCTGTGTTTGGCTCTTTGAAAACATTACAATTTCCTGTGCATCAAAATGTCAACCTTTCTGTAGGTACCAAAAGTTTGGCCAGTTAAACACCCATTAAAGAATAAAATACAGTTGAACACAATAGTTAAGAACTGAAATAACCAAAACATGTAAAGAAAAAGTCTTTAAAAGCAACGTAAAAGATGATACTGCATACAGCAGTCACTCTGTCTCTCTTGAGTGTTAACAGTGACGTGGGAACAGACTATAAGCTGCTGGTTTAGAGTACAGGGATAGCAGTTCTGATATATATGCTGGGATCAGGTCCTGAGGGGATTTCAAAGTATAACAACAAACTGTGTTATAAGCCGTCTAACTATAAAACTTTAACCCCAAACAGCGAATAACAATTCATCTGCACTGCTGACAACATTCATACTATACTTGTGCTATTGTGCCACAGTTTTAACCTCCTAAGACCCGAACTCTTTCATGGCATGCATCTTTTATTTCTCTTTGATATTTGGGCTGATTGGGACCTGATGAATGTAAAAACAAAGAATTACCAGATTTTTTTTTTTACTTGATTTTTGTTTCTGAGAAAAATGAGAGCCACATATGAGGACATTCGCTTTAAATTTGGATAGAACAGTGTCAGTATAATGTCCTCATAATTGGATATCAGGGCCCTGAAGAGCAAAATTTAGTATTTTGGTCTAGACAACCCATAATTTGATGTCTACATATGTGGACGCCAGGTCCTAGGAGGTTAAAACACCACTTGTCGCACTCGGGGTGATTTTATAGTGTGGAAAGGGTGAGCTGAAAGACTTCATCCTTGTCTTGTATTCAGCATCTTTACACCAACCGTATAACAGTGATAATAGAATTCCCAAATTCTCTGAGTTTCAATTATTCATGGCATGCACAGCAATTTTCCAAAACTGCTGCACAAAAAAAAGTTGATCTTCTGAGGGGCCCAAAAGTGAGCACTCAAGATCTCTCCTCAGTTCTCCCCTAAAGACTGTTTGAAGCCTTGAAGCTGTCGCAGCAGGATCTGCTGCAGGGAGTCCACCATCCACCCACCTGGATGTGAGTGTGGGGTCTTTGCATTGTTTCATCACAGAGGCTTAGAGCACCCCACCCTTTAGCTCCTGCTTTTATGTGCTGCACCCTCCTAGTACTCGTCCTTTTTATCTGGCAGGGTGTGTGGCGAAGAGCCCCACCACTGTGCTGGGAGTGCTGGCTTCATTAAGCATTTGACTTCCAGTCGATATCTGATGGTGCATCTTAATCAAGGAGCTGCAGGCCCCCACAGCAGGAACTAACCTTTCCTTCAACCGGCTTTGTGGCTTGTACAATCACCAGGGCTGTTTTTATTATTAATCAAAAGTAATCAATAGTCCTTAAACAGAGGTATAAACCCACAAATTCAAAGAACAATGAATCATCACAACTGTGTAGAGAAAATAAAATATCAATGGGAAATGTGTCATCCACATGCCATTTGTACACTTGAGTATTTTCCTAATCACTATTGATCAGCTCTCTTGCAGCCACTTCCTTCTTTGCCAGTAAAGCTGATGGATGCAAAGAGCCGATGAAGAAAGAAATGGCTGCTTCCAGGCTGATCCACAAATCAGATAAGTGACAAAAACCACTTTGGAATGATAGAGAGAAGCTGGAACCAAGGAGAGAAATGTGTGTGTGTTTGGTTTCTGAATGCCCCACACACTGGCCTTGATGCTCTTTCTTATTACCTTTGTCGCAGCCATTCATGCCCATCTTGCTCCCATCTGGACACACGTTGCACTTCATGCCCTTCACTCCCGTCTTGCAAGAGCACAGACCCGACATCTGCTCACAATCATCCCGGACTGAGCCCGTAGCGTCGCAATTGCATGCTGCCGTGGAAAGGTGGAAAAAAAATGAGAGAGATTGATGAGGGGGGGAAAAGGCCAGTCAATTAGCGACGACGGCAGGAAGAGAGATAGGAATAGCTCGGTTTATAGTCTGTACAAACTGTGCTTGAAGCAACCTTAGCCTCTGTAGCGTTGTGCTTGAGAGACATCTTTGTCTTAAGTATCAAGGGTTGGTAATAGTTCAACCAGCCCTAGGGGCCACAGGAGGAGGACAAGAAGGAGGGGAATGAGTACGTAAGAGAAACTCAGGAAAACAACGCCGGGGAAGGACATCAAGTCCATTATGTTCCGGGAATCAATGACGTGTGTTGTTTTCCACTCCTCTCCTGCTGAACGTGGTATTGGCGTGTGGTGTGCTGTCTGCTTGCTTTGGGTAAACCTTGTTAAGGTCAGGCCACGGGTGAGGCACCTGCAGGCTTCCTGCTGTTGACTGAAAATGCTCTGTGACTTGGGGAGCTATGTCCTATGATACCTCAGCGGCAGGATACGAGCTAGTCACCATATTGCATTACACCAAGACAAACAAGGGGTCCCGACCCTGTTCTTTACTCGAATACAAATGAGAACGGTTCATTCAGTACAGCCTTGACAGGTCTAAAGGACAAAGTAAGACATCTTTCCACAAAAACTCTCATCAAATAGTTAAGCTCTATAAATATATGGAGCTTAACTAGAAGAGAATCTAATTTGACTGACTATATTTTATGGATATTCATTTTATAAACTTCTGTTCTAAAAAGGGTAGCTCGGAGGCACTGCTATTAATTCAGTGAGAAATGTATTGTCAAACTATGGCTCTTATCTTGAGAAATATGACTCTCACTTATGTAGAGTGGATTCCAGCCATGCAGATTTGGATTTATTTGGCAAAGACTTTAGGTTTACAGACTCAGAGGTTTTGGGTTTCTTCCCAGAAAACATTGGGGGGAATAACTAACATTGTTTATACTCTGGAAAAAAAAATTGTTCAATAACTATAAAAGTAAAGTAGATCAGAAGAAAAGTGCACACAGAAATATTGATGGTGTATCTAGAGCAGGGGGTGTGAATCATACAAGTCAGTCAGGACTTTGCAAACTATGAAAGTTGGAGATGTCTGCGGAGATGCTGGAGATGAAAGTTCCAGATCCTGACAAGTTGCTGACAAGACCCACTGACAAGACCCACTGGAGATCAAAGCTGAGGCCCATGAACTAAACCGACTTTGACATCTCTGATCTAGACTAACTATTTCACTATTTCAGGATTTCTGAAAACCAAATAAAACCTCTCTGCGTGTTAACACTTTGATGTGCATGGATTTTTTTTTCGGTGTGTGTGTGCACAGACCATTTGTGGAGAGGAAATTTAAGTATTGAAAAGTAACATACATAAAATGAACGTCATCGAAATAAAACACATTTGCACAGCTGATCAGATACAAAGAAGGAATTCCTCACGAGTGCAGCCGCTCATGTTCTCTGTCACGATGCCGCGGAAATTCCAGAAGCCCGGCTCACAGCGGTCACACTTCTGCCCTCCGACACCCGGCTTACAGGAGCACTGCCCGGTGGTTGGATCGCACGTCCCCTTGTAGGAGCCGTAGATATTACACTGACAGGTAGCTGAGGGGAAAAGAGCAACAAGGAATTTCACTTTTCTACAGCAAACTTACACTGCTGCTGTTTATAGATCCCTGTAGCTTATAAGAGTTGGATAATGCTTACTGTGATGGATACTCTGTATTAGAGATTTATGCTAGGCTCAAATGTCAGCTAAACCCTATTCCGCAAATAAAAAGGCGGATAAAGCGCGCTGAGGTGATTTTCCTTTTTTCTAAATCTCTGCGTATTCTTATTTCTCCATCTGCATTTTCTCCATCCATGCTGTATCCCCTGGCTTACAGCTCGATGCAAGCCTTTTCTCTTCCATCTGCGCGCTATCATTTGTCAGGATCATCAGATGAAGAGATTTTTCTGTTGATACAGCGCAGAATTATCATAATTATTCCTTGGATTAAGATGAAACGTTTTCGGCTCTGCAACTTTGCTACTGTAATTGCAGTCAAGGACAACGAGGCCCATATGCTGCAAACAGCCTGATACTATCTACTTTTTTTCCCTCCTTTTTTTCTTTAAAAACTCGTGACACACTGACGGGTCAAAGTGGGACACAGAATAGGACTCACCGGGACATCCAGCCTGTCCAACTCCTAAGGCGGCCGTCACATTGTCTGAGCAGCAGCCGTACACTGACACGCTGCAGTGCTCGGATACCGTCGGGTCCGGCAGAGATACGGCTGAAATCACCGATGAGGTAGGGAAGGAAAGGGAGGGGAGATGGAAGATGGAACAGGGAGAGAAAGAGGAACACCAGCATTTGAGTGATTACTGTAGGGTTTGTTGATGGTGGTGGAGGAGGGGAATTAAACAACACAATCTCTGAACAACATGTAACTTTTTTGCCAACAATGAGATTGGCTTGAGGGGCAGAGGTGGAGAGCCTGGCAGTCGGCTTCAAGATAACAATTCTATTTGCTACTTTCTCCACAATGACTCAAAATCAGGGGGAAAATGATGCTATTACCTCCAGTGAAAACAAACAATGGCATTTCTGGTGAATGTGCAGAAGCTGACATTTACCACCTACTAGAAGGCATGTTCTCTTCATTTGTTCTTGTCTAATATTACGAAATTGCACCGCTGCCCTACAACCTTCAAAAAAAGAAAAGAAGAAGAAGCAGAAGAAAAAAAAAAAAAAAGGCCTGCTGCATAATGCGAAGGAATTTGCCAAGCAGTTTGTGCCTGCGCACACTGTGTGGAGAGCTCCTTTGTCTAAGGATGCACAAGACGCCAAAATAGTGTGACAGCACTGAATACAGAGCCACATTCAACAAAATAAAAACAAATGCGTTCCTCAAACCTGGCGCTTCTCCAGAAATTGGAAGAGAACAACAAAACAGTCAGTGGGAGGAAAATAGGATTTGTTTAATGGCCGGAGCAAAAGCATCATTGTTCACATTTTTTCATACTTTGGAGTGAAAAGTAAAGTTGTAGATAGAAACGGGAAAACCCTTGGTTTTCTGTGTGTCTCTCTATTGCCCTCCCCATCGCCTCTTTTAGTGTTGCTCATTTGGAGTTTGGAGGCTGGAGATACAGAGGCCATAAATCACACTGTTACTGGTGTGGATATGAGCCTCAGCCTAATGGTGATGACTCGGCGCGCTCTTTTTCCAGTGCTTTCCCACTCCAGAGATGGGCTTTGGACACAGGTCATTTAACTTGCCACTTTTCAGTGCTCCATTCGGCTATCTGTACTGAGCCTATTAGGACAAGGAGAACTTTTAATTTCATATGTTCTTCCACCCTTCAAGGGTTTTTCCCCATTGTCCGGCACAATGCACCTCGCTGTGACATGCAATATTACCCTCACATTTTCAAGGTGCACTGCTGCGCCTTCTCCGCTTCGCTGATTGTTGCTGGTCTTTTATATTCCTGCAAGGGCACATCTGCACATGTATCTAGTAAACCAATAAAAATTTCAGTGGATTATATTGAAATCCCTGACCCTGATTTGAGTTTGCAGGCGGCAAAAAAAACAAAAAAAAAAACTATTTGAAATGCTACAAGAGGCAAACTTTACAAATGTGCATGCAGCAGACGGCTGTGTTGACACTGTATGCAAAGTAGGTAGCTTTTCAAACTGAGAACCTCTGAAATACAAGGTTGCTTTCATGCTCCGCTACTGAGAGCTGGCATGTTTTGATAAAGTTTATGGAGCTGAGGTCAAATGAAGTTTCTCCTTACATAGCTAATGCAGAGGGCAGTGAAATTCCCCAAGATCTGAGTCCCCCCTTCCCCCCCATTAGCCAATAGGAGATGAGAACCCAGAGGCCTTGTACCCATAGAGGACTCTTCAAAAAAGGATTGATTATCCATGGATGGTAGAGAAGCGTGACAGTCAGTGCCCAAGGAGGCCAGCTTAGGAAGGAGAAGAATCTGCAGAGATGTGTGTGAAAACACTGGCAGCTCCTTCATTCTCACTCTCTTCAAACTCTCGCCATCCTCCTCTCTTTCAGACCCAAGGGGAATCAAACAGACTGGAATGATCACACAAAATCCCTTAAGTGCCTTTTGCTCTGCTCCCTGGCCTGTGCTAGCAAAAAGCTCTTCATTTAACATAGCCACAGAGAGGAAGATGGTTAACCTTTGCTGCTCTGCCACTGATCTCACAGCGTTTGTGGCTGATAAATGTCATTCATCACATGCAAAGAGAGGGAGTTTATATTAAAGGAAGAGGGGAAAGTGGTGTCCTGAGGGCTAAGAAGCAAGCTCCGGAGCACAGGTTTATTGCTTTAAATTCTCTGAATATCTGGACAGAAAAGAGAGCCTTTATTACTATCTGTTAGTTCACACTTGGGCCCGAGAGGAAGATTTTTAACTCTGCTCACGAGCCGGCCCACGTGGACTAGTCACTTCCCAGAAAAGCTGGAAAGCTCAAAGTGTGCTGAGTCAACCTTCCCTGAGCAAATTACACAAACCCACACATCAAATTTAACACTGACCTCCCATCATTTCACTTGCTTATGGCTAACCAGGTCACACTGAAGAGAGACACAAGCAGTGCTGTCAGAATTACACTCAAACTAGAGACAATTACAACCCCATCGATGGATGGAATGAGTGGAGAAATGGGATGTCAGCGACAATGAGACTTGATGAGGGTGCTCTTGTGCACTGCAATGACATCGACTCTGAGTGGCGTAATGTACCGACCTGCACAGGGTCCCTGATTTTGAATCAACAAGTGCTCTCGTTTCTCACATCTGGCCTTCTTCAGCTCGCACTCGTTGCTGTAGTTTTTCCCATCGGAACCACAAACCTGCAAAAAGAAAGACACAAAGCAGAGTCTGAAGCAGCGTCTAGCTTAACCCCTCAGCTCTTTTTGCTCTACCTCGCTTCAGTTATTACCAGGCCGCGTGTTTTTGCCGAGGCGTGCCCTGTATTTAAAGTAAAAGCGCATTCACCTAGACGCTGAACTAAAGAGCCATTAAGTGGTTAGTTCGGTTGCTTTCAATAATACTTCACGGCCTTTGTCAGGTGGCGTTTTTACTCAGTTGTAATGGACGTGGTTTAATCAGGTGTCATCAGTTTCACCACACTTAAGACCATGCGGTGACACCTGAGCCACATCCGTGACAACAAAGGAAGCTGCTGCTGCTCATGACGGTAAGATGACCTCGTGGGAAAAGAGGATTTTTTTTTGCTCCTGCTTATTAGACAGGTCTGTTTCTGTCGTCACTGGAGCTTTCTCCTCGCGTCACGTGGTGTTCAGTCAGGTAAGCCATAAATACAGTGTTTCTTTCCCCTGTTATGCAGACTATGTCAACCTATATGTTCCACTGACGGACGCAACATAAACACCATCTCCAGCCTTATGCCTCGCCTTTCTGATGCTTAATTGTGGATGTCACAAAACTTTCTTCTGCCCAGTTACTCAGTTTCTGGGATCCTTTTTGAGTTTTGCGTTGGCTTACAAATTACCGAGGTTGTACAGTCATGCTGTCTCCGAATAAGAAATGCTGCGAAAAGATTTTCCATCTGAAGCTGACCTTGAAAAAGTCCCCCGTGCCTTCATCCACGCCCCCATGTTTTACAATTTTGTCAAATTTACAAGAAAATAAGAAAGAAAGTGGCCCCTGATGGATTTTGTAACAAGCAAGGTTATTCGGCAAATTCAGAAGACATCTAGATTTCTTTTTATGCTAAACAGACAAAAATTCAGGAATAATTTTCCATGTCATTTTATAGGAGATTGGAGTTTGTCCGATGAAAATGTCAAAAGCAGATGTGTGCGATTTATGTTTTTGCATTTTGCTTTGAAGGGACTGGAAGATTTAACCACATTAGCAGCTAATGGCAAATGATTTTTGAAGGCTGTCTTACCAGGCTGTGAGGCACACTCGTGCAGCTGTATTCACAAAGGCATCGGTCGCTTTCGTCTTCTGCGTCTTCGTACCACGTGCCTCCAAATACGAGACAGCGGTCCTGTTCACAGCTCTCCTGACCCGATCCAGACCCGCCCGAGCCGCAGTCTGCATAAAAAAAGACACACAATATCATTAACAAACATATGCACACACATCTCTGTGCATCCCTTTTTATTGATTTGTCAAAAGCATTTGACACTGTTGATCATTGTATTTTAAAACTTAGACTCTTCCAGTCAGGACTCTCTGAGAGAGCAGTGGCATGGTTCTCAAACTACCTCAGTAACAGGACTCAGTGCATTAAATCTGACGATCTATGTTCTGACTTTGTTACAGTGCACAACGGAGTGCCACAGGGTTCTATATTAGGTCCCCTTCTATTTATCATTTACGTAAACAATCTTAGTCTACATGTGCCAGATGCAAACTTGCACTTCTATGCTGATGATACAGTTATTTACAGCTGTGGTTCAACTCTTGTCCAAGCCATCGACTCCTTGCAGAAAGCCTTTTCTGCTGTCCAGCACTCATTACATCAGCTTAAACTTGTTCTCAACGCAGACAAAACAAAGCTCATGTTGTTTTCTAAATCAAGGAGACGAGCCCAAACAATCCCATCAGTAACCACTCTTGAAGGTAATAAAATAGAGTTGGTTCACACCTATAAATATCTGGGAATCTTAATTGATGACTCGCTTACCTTCAAACCACATGTAGAGAATCTTGTGAAAAACCTGAAGTTAAAACTGAGATTTTATTTTCAAAAAAGTTGTGTTTCTCTTTTAATACAAAGAAGCGGCTTGTTGCTGCAACATTCTTGCCTGTGCTGGATTATGGTGATATTCTATATATGAATGCTTCTGCTCAATGTCTTCGAATGGTTGATTCTGTGTATCATGCTTCTTTGAGGTTCATCACTAACCGTAAATTTCAGACTCACCACTGTGAGTTATACTCTCAGGTAGGATGGCCTGCTTTGGTAAGTCGGAGGAACTGTCATTTATACAGTTTTATATATAAGGCGATACTTGGGTTGCTGCCTTCTTATATATGTTCCCTGCTTGTAATGAAACATGCTGGTCGGTATTCTCTTCGTCCGCATGGTTACTTGTTGCTTTCTGTTCCATTTGCCCGAACTGAACTTGGTAAAAGAGCTTTTGTCCATTTAGCACCCTCGGCTTGGAACAAACTGCAGAAGGAATGGAAAATGACTGAATTCATTTCATTAAGTGATTTTAAATCTAAACTACGAATCCTTGAGGCCAAGTCCATAACATGCAACTGTTTCAATTAGATTGATTGTCATTTTAACTGACTTTTTTATTTTTTTGTATTCTTTCACTTATTGTTGCATGTGTGTTGTTGCTGCCTGTGTTTGAGTAATTTCTGTAACTGTGAGACATCTGCTGCTGCCTATCTTGGCCAGGTCTCCCTTGAAAAAGAGGTTTTTAATCTCAATGGGTTCTTCCTGGTTAAATAAAGGTTAATAAAAATAAATAAAATAAATCTCAATCTATACATCTAGTGGGCATCATAGTTTTATTTGTCTTGAAGTTAAAACTACATTTAAACACTGTGGGCGCCGTAAAGTTAAGATAATTTACATTTCCCCTCATGATGGCGAGAGGCAACCAAAGGCGCTGCTGGTAGTACAAGATAATGACGGTGTCTAGCGAGGGCCACCGATTGACTAAATAAATTAGACATCTCTGCACCACCAGTGAGGCATCCTTTCATTTCAATTACATCAGAAACAAAAAAAGGGGGAGGGAATTATTAACTCCGGCCTCCAAGTGTGCGGAGAGAATTGGTGGCGAGGCCTGCTTTATGGGTGTCTGCTTCCCGATATGAGAATGCAACTAATTGCAAAGTGTTCTGTAAAATCTAATTATCTCCCGAGACTTTAAAGAAAGTTGTCCCGGCAACTCTTTAACTGCGACCCTGAAATGTCTTTTTGCTTGTTTTAAAAATGCACGTCTGTGTTTCGCAGTAGGAGGAACAGCTAAGGCTGGCTTAATGTTTATGGGAACGAGGCAGAGCAAGGACAAATAAAAACCCAATTAGGGGCCAGGTTGTACAGCTCTACAAAATTATTTAAAAAGAAGCACCAGAAGGGGGAGGGGGGGGGGGGGTAATTGACAAGTGGGTTGATTTGAGGAAGACAAATTTGGGGAAGGGAGGGGGGGATTGCAAAGTGCAGGCAAAAAAAAATGGGAGGATCTGGCTTTTGAAGTTGCAAATTTTACCTACAGTGGAACTCCAGAGGGAGATTAGGTAAACGTGTGTGAAAGCGGGGGAAAGAAAGCATGCAGCATGAAAGACGGAAAGAATGTCAGACAGAGCGAGGCACCCTGGGGGCTGGCAGAAAGTTCATTTAAAACAAATTTGTTATTCAAAAAAGGACTACAGTTCAACTAAAAGCTCCCAGCGCAGGCAGAAGACTCAAAGCGCATTAGGTAATCGAGGTCTTTCTTTCCCTTCTCGTCTACTTTTAGGGCTCGTTCGGCTCAGTGTATTGATGCACTGCCTCTAATGGTTAAATCAATGTCATAGTGTAATGGAAGTATCACTTAGCATAAACCGTCTCCTAAAGTAGATTATGGAGCAGGTCACAGTGCACGGTGCGGGGAGGGGCCGATGAAGCCCCGGCTGTTCTTCGATATGGGTCATCAGCTGTGGTGCTGGGAGAGATCTGAGTGGTCGATACGGCGGCGGAGACGTCGCTTTACTATCTGTGCCTTCAACAGAGGAGTTGGAGCTTTGTGAAGAGTGCCCCCCCCCCACCCCTCCCCGAGAAAAAAAACAACAAACTAGGAACCATCAGTGCTTATTAAAGCATCGCTCTGTCTCCATTTTAAAGCCCCAACCCTAATCCGTTTACTTGAATTTGCCATTGTTGCAACTTATTGATTTCGAACCACGGTCCGAGTTAAACATAACATTTTGTGACACAGCTAATGCGCTGCGTAATGGCTTTCAGCTGCCAGTGACATTATCGCAGGTACTCGGCGTCAGATGGCATCTGAAAGTGAGAAGAAGAGATCAGAAACAGAAAGGGAGCTCAGCAGCCCGTGGTCGGCTTCCTGTATCTGTTTACTGTTTGCCAGCTCAGCACGACGCAGTAAAAAGGAAATGCCGGAGTAGCCGATTCATATTCCACTCAGGTCCCTTAACACAGACAAGATAAATATATAAAAAGAGGTAAGACACTAGAATGGAATAAATAAAAGTGAAAGGCGAGGGGAGGGGGTCCTAATTAGCTGTTGCTCTTTGATGTGCCCGTCACCCACGCTGCCTATGAACCTTTCAATTAATATGTCCCCAGCCAAGATGGCTGCATCAGCTATTCTCTCCGTACTGCCCATCCGTTTCTTTTTACTCAGTCTTGTCAGAAGCCTGAGTCTATTTAGCCAGGGGAGCTCCATTAAGAAGCCAGAATTGAGCGGCGGAGAGAAGAAAGGAAATGAATTGCATAAGAATAATGTCCGAAAAAGACTGAGAGGCTTTGACAGTAGAAATAATAGAGGAAGTGAAGAGGAAGACGGTATTGTCTTGAACTGTGTGCTAATGAAAGTAGAGGGAAGAGGAGAAAACATGAGAACCTGGGTAAATTATAGATGACGGAGGGGAGGGGGCTGTAGATGTTCAGCAAACCAGATTTGTTGTGTCAACATCAATGATCCAGGAGACATCTGATATTTCTATGATACCTCTGATATCATGACCTGACTGAATGTCAACATCTATGACTTTAAAGAAATTCTCCCTCTTTGAAAATGACAACGGTTTTGCTCCCTCTATCAGTACCACCTTCTTTGACTGATGTGACAGCACGTTAGCCTAAATAAAGTTCCTGTAGGACGGAGAAGCATCACAGCCAGTGGGAGGATGGGGTGTTTTTAGATGGCAGGAGGAGAAAAGAAGTTTTGTTGCCTCAACAGAAGGTTAGAAGCCCCCATGATGAATGGACCGTGAAGGAAAAATGCGCTGATCACACTCCGGGAAGCTCTCGTGCCACCCAGCCACTCACTTGCCTGTTTTTTCATGCCCTTTCCTGTCTTTTGGAGCTTGATCACATCCGTGCCGTGTGAGGAGCGACGAGGGTGAGGATCCAGCATCTCCGTGTGATCCTGCTCTCATAATCTTGTTTATTAAATGTCTATTCAATTAAAAAAGGGGGCTCGGGCCTCCGTAGGTGATGCACTGCTCTCAGTTACCACTTTGTCAGTGTCGAGAAAAGGAGCTGAGGCCAGGCCTACCCGAGTGTGAAATTAAACAGGTGATAAATTTCCCTGTATGGCCAACAGTGGGAACACTGTCATTTTTCATTACTGCTAAATAAAAAGGCAGGAGAAAACAACTTCCATTTTTATGCCGTGCGCTCCCCTCCTCCCAACAAGACTAATGAGGATGGTTTTTAAGTCAGGTCTACGTAAGCAAATAAATCAACACATTCACTTCCTCTCTGGGCTTATCTTAGATTTGAAGTATGGAGTGGGGAGTTGCGCATACTGGTGATGTAGAGCCCTGCCGCTGTCTACAATAGAGCCAGAAAAAAAAACAGAATTACATTTTGTGACAAGGGTGCTGTATAACACAGCATGTGCTCTTAATTTTGCCAAATCTACCACTGATACTGTACATGTAGGCAAGGGTGAATCCATCAGCAGCAAATCCTGTTTAAGACAGGCAGGAGGAGAGAAGTAGAACAACTTTCTGCAAATTGGTTTTGACTGTTTTACAGGCTTCCTGTGGAGGGTCCGGGTCAGATTTGAGGGGGCCGAAAGAATGGGGTGGGGTGGGGTGGGGGGGACAGAACCGTCTGCTGCCCCTGGGGTGAAATTTATTGATTTCCGCCGAGCCCTTCTCCACCCCTGTCTGTGAAAGCCTTGGCGCCCCTTTTGTCAAGAAGGACAATTTTGATGGAGAGGAGTGCAAAATGGAAAGAGATGTGAGTGGGTGGGACAGCAGGGTGCGATGTGGAGAGCAAAAAGAAAAAAGAAAGGGGAAAAAAAAGAAAAGATTCTATTGTGTAAGCCTGACAGTTCTCTCTGAATCAAAATGAGCAAGCGATGGGAAAAAGGAGAATGCTGAGAGACAGTATGGTAGAGAGAATAAAATATAAAAACAAAGCCATCAGCCACTGCAAGCAGAGCAATGCCCTTGGGATGCAGATGAGAGTACTTTTTGCCTGATACAACCAACAGACAATGAGGAGTGTGTAGCTGCGTGTGTGCGTGGTGACAGTAAGTCTGCACGTCTGCATCGAGGGCATACAGTTTCACATTTCTTCATGCTCCACATACAAAAAAAGTCACTTATCTCAGTCAATGAAATGATGTTAAATCGGCCACAAGAAGCTTTGATGGTGCGATTCGCCTCGCAGGCCTGGGGCCAAATACGGCAGGCAATGGTAGTGGGGGGGTTAGGGAGGAAAAAGAAAAAAGACCCCTGGCCGTAGCAATCAAAATGGAAGTGGATTCCCCCTCATCTCTATTTGCCCTGTCCTCCATCTACCCCCTCCTTTCTTCTCTCCAGCCATCCCTCCTGCTGGCAGGTGTAATCTGCTCCCCTTCACACCTTGTCAGTAGATGACTATGTTCACTGTGATGGCCAACTAGCCACGAGGGAACAGCAGCATTGCCACTGTCTGCATTTAAAACCAGAGGCTGGCATTTTGCTCCCTCCAGAGTTGTCCCCAAGAAGGGGATGAGCGAGGGACTGTGATATCCCGCCTCAGTCTGTCAGCGCTGATCAAGATATGATCTGCACGGTGAATTAGAGTTCATTTATTCAGAATGCGAAGCGATGACAAAGCTACAGGCATGGAAATGAGGGATACTCACATTAAGTGCCATCGGTCACACATTTAAAAGCCTAATTGAATAGAAGAGCTAGATAAAATGTGTACCCTAGCTGTAACAACACAAACAAACACAACCTAGCCCCCCTCCTAATAAAAGCCGAGCATAATAATTCGTGCTATTACAGCTCGGGCTGCAAATTCAGGTAAAAGTACATGCAGTAATCACCAGCCTACAATTCACAGATCATCTTTTTAGCAGACATAATATTCTCAGGCTCTAATATACTTCAGTCATCTATACTCAGCCCTTACCTCATTTTTAGCTACCTCTAATGCATGGAGCATTTAGCTTGGGATCCCATCTACAAGTTCCAAATATCAAATGAAAAACTGTCTGCAATTAATTAGTTTCAGTTTATTGAGGAATCAAGGAGCAATGGGGTGGAAGCAGTGAGATCAATAAACAAAAAACAGCTGCAGCTCATACGTTGCACAGCACGCTCGCGAACAAAGTCAGCCAGACAAGCAGCCAATGAAAACACTGCGTTGAAAACGTACAGCTGACCTGAGCTTAATCACCCAGAAGTCATTTCTAACAGGTTTTGTTTACAGAAACACACCGCGGCTGTCGCCTCATGTTTTTTGCAGTATTAATAAGCCGACACAGACGTCGCAGCTACGAATCCACAAACGACTAAATACGGCACCGCAGGTCGCTTGATAAAGATAATTACACCGTTTCAAAGTCCATTTTCCTACCTTCGTCGCAGCTGCCGAGCCTCGCCACGTCAATTCTCGTCATCTGCGTGCAGGAATGTCTGCGAAGTTCACACTCATTGTCGTAGGTGGTGCCATCACTTCCACACACTGGGGAGTAGGGCTCGCCTGAGCACGGCGGGCACTCACACCTATTCTGGACGCACCGGGCACCCATGGCACAAACAGTGTTGCCACATGTTTCTGTATTAAACACACAGCAGAGGGGCAGGCCACAGCATGACTGGTGAGTTATTTTGATGGATATGATCCACATGGACATTCAAAGTCATCTCTGGAATATATTTTTAAACAGGATTTCTCTTTTCCTTTTTCTATTTATCATGCACGCTGCTTCCCCTCGTAATATATTCCACTTTAAAACATATACAGCACATGCTGCTGGAGCAATTTCCCATCTGAGAATTCAGTTTGACAAGTTTGCTTGTATTTGAAGTGCCTGCAGTTTTATGAGCTTCCTGATGGGCACTATTTTTACATGTCATTTCCATATTTAACTCAGAGCCAGAGGAAAGAAATGAATCTTTTACATATGAACATTGCACACTTTTTTCCCTAGCCTAATATCAAATCACCAGTTTGTGCTAAGATCGCTGATGTGTCCTTCATATTTATACTAATAATGACACACTGAAGATGACATACTGTAACTACCAGACATATTCTCCATAAATGTACGCATTACTTACTGCACTCTCCTTGGCCGACCACTCGGAGGTCCATCTGTTGTTTGCAGGCCCGCACATGCAGCTCACACTCGCTGTTGTAGGTGGTACCATCGCTGCCGCACACAGGCTGGTGGGACTTGACACACTCTGACGGACACACACACTGCTTGCTCTGGGCATCGCAGATTGCCCCAAAAGAGCAGTTGGCACAGGCCTCATCTAGATGGGGACAAGCAGGCAAACAAATGGTTAAGTGTGTCTGTGCATGTGTGCTTCCTGTGGGATTACATAACCTTGGCGCCGAGGTCTGACTCTAAGAGAAACGGTGAATTTAGAGGATATTAAGTTTCTTTTACACTGCTCGTATTAATGTATGGTAGACTTAAAATGGATTCTCTTATGTTATCATTATGCAAATGCAGTGCAGTGCAGTGCTTTTCAGCTCATCTTACTTTCTGATGATGCTTGAAACATCACTTAAGTGAATATAAAGTTGCGAGGGAATGAGTTTCTGGCTACTACAGATTCTTAAAGTAGTGTTGGTTTGTCATTTGGTCTTTCAGCCACAACATTAAAACTACTGACAAGTCAAGTGAATAACACTGATTATCACATTAGGATATAATGTTCTGCTTGGAAACACTGGGTCCTGTCATTCATCTATATGTTACTTTGATATCACACGGGGTCATATGATTGTTGGGTTTTTCTCTGTATGCGTTGCTGTAGGGTCTACCTTACAATATAAAGCACCTTGAGGTGACTGGTGTTGTGATTTGGCGCTGTATAAATACAGCTGAATTGAATTACTTTGACGCACCCATTATCATTAATTTTGAAAATGTTGGAGACCAAACTGGTGAGGTGCTAAGCAAAGAAACCAAAACTGTGCCAATACTGGAAAAAGTTCAAACTTACAGTACAAATATTTTACTTTACAAGCTCAGTATATGGAGTGAAGATTTGGAAAATTCAATCTTACTAGAGGATGGAAAATCAGAGTACTGAGATCCCACTTAATTACACACCACAGAACTGGATGCTTCAGCCCTAAGTCTTTGTGGCATAGATTCAAAAAGATGCTGGAAACGTTCCTCAGAGATTTTGGTCCATACAGACATGATGGCATCGCACATAGACTGCAGCTTTGTCAGCTACACATCCGTGATGAAAATCTCCCATCCCACCACGATCAAAGGATGGCCAATCCATCTAAGTACAGTGAACTTGTGTTCAAGGAACCAGTTTGAGGTGATTCGATCTTTGTGACATGGTGGGTTATCCTGCTGGAAGCAGCCATCAGAAGTTGGGTACACTATGGTCCCAAATGGTTGGACAAGGTCTGCAACAATACTCAGGTAGGCTGCGGTGTTTAAATCATGCTCAGTTGCTATTAAAGGGCTCAAAGTGTGCAACAGAAGTATTACACCACCATCAGCAACCTGAACCATTAATACAAGGCAGGTTGGAGCTGTGATTTTATGTCGTTTACGCTAAATTGTGACCCAAACTGCTGAATGTTACACCAGAAACTAAGCCTGATCAGACCAGCTAATGTTTTTCCAATTTTCCATTGCCCAGTAGAGGTGAGCACATTGTAGTCTCGGTCTTGACGAGGCATTTCTGACCAGAAAACCTTCATTCAAACGATGTTTTGTCCCTAGAGATGACTGTGTGGAAAAATCAATTTCTGAAATGCCCACAGTAGCCCGTCTGCCACTAAAAAACACGCCACCTTCAAAGTCCGTTTGAACTTCAGCAAGATGTCTTGAACACGTCTACATGCCTAATTGGAGTTGCTCCCGTGTGATTGGCTAATTAGATATTTGTGTTAACAAGCAGTTGAACAGGTTTGCCTAATAAAGTGGCTGGAGAGTTATGTTACTCCTGACACATTGCATTGTTATATAAATAGACAAGGCACCAACGTTTAAAGGAACACTAAAACAGTTTGGGTAGAGTGACACATGAAAAGAATATTTTAAAAGAAATTCCACTAAAATCAAAACTCTTTCTTCTTGGTGAGTGTTTAGAAGGACACGGTAACAATAGAAATGAACAAAAGTGGAAAAATAACTCTGTTTTTTAAATGGATAAAAAAAGAACATTTGTATTTTATATGTGCTCCATGTCTCATAATAAAAAATGTCTCATTTATTGCATTTTTCTCATGCAAAATTATGCTAAGAACTAAGCATGAGAATCAAGGCAAACATTATTTACTATTCAGAGCTACAGGAAATAACCTGTTTTCCCATTTTTCCTGGGAAAACGAGGAATTTGTATAAAGCTTTATTAATGTACATGAGGTACATTCACATGATATTAAAGAATACAGAAAGCCGCACACATGCCATTTAAAGTTTACTGCATGTCAGAGGTAAAAACTATGCCATGAAATAAAAAAACTTCCCAGACAGAGCCCTACCACAGCACAAATCCATGGAGGAGGATTTTAGAAAAGATGCTAAAGTGCATGAAGTTCCCAGAAGCACAGTGGGTTCCATCACTAAAGAAATTTCAAGCCAACCAAAACCAGTCTTTCTGGAACTGAAACTAAATAGCTGAACACAATGAGCTTTGAAAATTGTCACCAAAAATAGATGAAGCTACCAGAAGGTCAACCGCACTGAGTCAATCAGGACTTTATGAGAGTGGTCAGAAACTGAAGCTAGTCCTGAGTAAAATCCACAAGAGGGCCATGCTAGAGTTTGCCAAATTACACTTAAATCATTCTGAAAGCATGAAGGAAACGATTCTCTGCTCTGATGAGACAAGAATTGAACTCCTTGGCCGGAATACCAATTGTTGTAAGTAGTGAAAGTCAGGTACTGGATGGGAGTAGCCAGCACCATTTTTTGGGAAGCCTTCTCAGCAGCGGATGCTGAAAAGAACTAGCCTCAACTGAGTGTGACAAATCACGCTTTCCCGTAAGATTGTAAGGCTAATTATATATGGCCCAAAATATGCTGTTTTTCCACCGCTTTTCAGTCAGAATCAAGCTGAGAACATCTGTATTCTCTCGCCAGATGCTACCAGAAAAAAGGCAAAGAGAGCTTTTGAAATCCTTGATTTTAGTATGAGGATTTATCTAGCTCATCTGTTGACTGATTGACTGAGACAACGTTTCCCTCAAAAGAAACAGCAAGGCAGGCTCAGGGTGCTGACTGAGCCCTCATGGGGACATGAAAGAAAAATGAGAAGGCAAATCCAAGTCCTCATACACAGAAAAGGCTAGTAGTATAGACACCTTTTCCTCTGACACCAATTACACTGGGAGGATTGCATTAGCACAGCTCACTATCACATTCAATTAGGGGCAGGCTAATACCCACCGCTGATTTAGCACTAATTGAGAGAGGCAAGGCTGGCTGCTGGAACCCTCCACATTATTAATCTGTTTATTACTCTTTTAGAGCCATTCATTTCCTTCATCTCTCCATCTAATGTGGGCATCCGCTGCTTTCTTGATTAACAGCTATCCACTTAGAAGTGGATATGGCAAGAAACGTGGCACTTTATGTACAGTACATGGGCTGTGGGAGCCTGTAGGAGCAAACGTTTCATTCTGTGGAGGTGGAATGATCAGTTCTATGAAGATATGCTTAAATTAAACTGCACGAGCAGGACATTCAGGGCAACTGTCTATGCTAAATTCATGTGTGCTTTTGCTCTGGGGCTATTTTTCACAGTGTGGCCTTCTGTCTTGAGTTTGAGTTTGGGGACATCTGAGTGCCTTGGCACCCGATGACATTTTTCTATAATCATATTTTAGGCTCCAAGTTTGTTGCAACAGTTTTTGGATTGCTCTGACCTTTTCCAACATGTCACATTTTTTTTTGCAGAAGGACCTTTACACTATTTTGCTGTTGAAGACCTGACCAGCACAGACCCGTTCAATACTCTTGCTATCATCTCGGTCACACACAGCCAGTGGCTGACCTCACTGATGCATTTTCTTTATAGGATGGGAGCAAATTCCTGCAGATTCCACAATCTTGCAGAAGATTACCACACCATACTTTCACAATGGGGTGTCACATAAGAGTGGAATATTGAGGTACCATTATTGCTTTTGTCAGTATTTAATGGCTAAGTGTACTTAACAATTATTTTCATTGCTCTCGAGGAAAAAAAGAATCTCCCCTGCACAGCTTTTCTATGACAAAAAAGAAATAAACATAAAACATAGTAAAAGTGTACTGCTGTGGTCGTGGATCCTCTGTGGCTGAGACAGCTATAAATCAGGAAGTGGAAGTGGTGAGTGTTGTCCTTTATCAGACCCTGTGTCCTGATAGTAGCCTCGCTTCTTTATCAGCTCCTGCCCCTCGCACCTGGCTCTCTGCACTGCCTGATCCTCCAGACAACATGCATCACAGACAGAAGAGGAGGGGAGCCTCAGTTCAAAGCCGGGAAAAGAGAGGAGATTGTTGCCATTACTGATAATGTTAGGATGTGTACTTTTTGTCATGTCTGATCTCTGAATCAGTCGTCTTCAAGTCTGTCATCACCATTTCTGGGTTTCAGTGGTTTCTGAAGGCAACCTCGCAACCATTAAAAGTTCAAAATTTAACGTAAAAAGTCTGGCTGGCCATTATGAAACACAGACATGACAATAAAGAATGGGAGATATTACAACAAGGGATCTTTCATCTCATGCAAATGCTTTTCAGGCGCAAGAACCTAGAGAAATATAGAGTATGACACACTGTCCAAGATCAAAGTAAGATATTTTAAAGCCTTTTTGTGTGAGTTCTGATAAAAAACCTGACACAAATATTAACTAAATAGCTTAAGAGTCAGCTAAAATTAGTTCTGCCTTTACAGCAGAATGATTCAGGCCAATAAAGGCTCAAAGATGGCACCATTCTCTGGTCCAAAAACAGCTGCCAGCTGTGAGTATGGAGATCGGCTGATCATTAGACATGCTTAATAACATTTGGGCAACCATTTAGGCAGCACTGGCACCCAGATCACGGGAGTTAGAATGTTCGCCATTCAAAGCAAGTCTGCCATGAGTCTGGCAATAAGGTGTGCTTAATCTAGACTCTGGCTGGGGTATACAAGTTTGGCATATGTGAAATCTACAGTATGTTTCTAAACTGTCTGAAGGCGCTCTCTAAAACGGTAATACTGGCATGGCAGGGAGCAAGGTCCAGGTCAAGCTGAACATGGTTGCATGGCCTAACAAGTGAGCTACGGTGGTACCCACACAAACT